CACAAAAGGACACGCTCACATTTCAATCACTGGTCCCGAGTGACCAGGCATCTTCCTTCTAGCCCTGAAGGCCTGGGGTCTCTCCATGGGGTTGGGGTGGCTAACAGACTATTGGTAAAATGTACACGGCTTGAGTTTTTAAAGAAACGTGGATGTGGAATTGGAAGGAGAGGAGGAAAGTCACTGCTGCCATGGTCCCTATGTGAGGAAGGCCCCATCTCTGCCCCACCACTTTTCTGAAGGCCGTTCCTTGGGGAGCAGGGGGTCTGCTAGACCTGCCCCTATGACTTCCAGGGATCGGTGGTGCAGGGGCGTCTGCCAGCTTGCCCCAGGCTGAGGACCCTAGGCGTCCGATATCCAAGGCGGTACTCCTCACGCCCACTTCAAGGAACCTAGCCTTGAAACTGAGCAAGCACTCTCTGAGGCCTTCTAGGGGCCAGGGCTGTCAGGTGCCCAATGCTTTCCTGCATCTTGGGATTCAAGCAACCATGGAAAGATTTTACACACGAGGAAACTGCAGCAGAGGATATTCAACTTGCCACTGTCACACAGTGAGGAAGGGGGCAGACTCCAAAGGCCTAGGCACTGTGCGCTGCTCTGAACCTATATGCAGTGGCCGGCTGAGTTCAACGTTCATGGCTCTCCCCACCTTGCGTGGTTCTCTTCTGGTCAAGAGTCTGTGAGTGGGGCCTGGAGTGGTCAGGCTGTCTCTCTGGTTTTCCCTTTGGAGCACCGCACAACGATATCTGGGGTTGGTAGGTGCCAAAATCTAGTTAGCCTTTACTAGGTCCTGTGCCCTGACAACAACAGGGCTGCATCCACGGGAAGAAGCGGGTACCGCAAGCCCACTGGGGTTGAGGGTAGCCTCTTTCTAATTCTGCGCAAAGTCCTCATATAGGTCAGAGAGTTCTTTGGGAGGGTGGATATAAGGGATGGCAAATCGTTTTCATCTTCTGGGCCAACTGCACCCTCAGTGGCAACGCAGAGTGCTGTGTGGAGGTGGAGTCTGGCATCCCGTCTGTCTGGGAAGGAGTTCTGCGCTCAGTGATTTCTGTCCCGGGTTGGGGGATGGGGCAGTGGCGTGTGCAGGGAGAGTATTTGCCATTTTGCTATCACTGCTGTAAACTGACACCTTCTGTGTCAACACACAGCCCAAAGGAGCCCAGGGCTCAGCCCTGGCCCAGAGGAGAGGCAAACCGTCAGCCTTCCCAGTACGTATCTGCTGTTTTAATTCCTGACGCAAGGCATGCAGGCAGGTTCAAGAGGGTTAGGGGTTCGTTTGCATTACAAATCACCACGAGATGTTCTTTAGTGAAATAAGCAGCAAAAATTTGCACAGGATTGTGAAGTTCCATCTCCTTCTTCTGCTCGTCTTTGCAGGCCTTTCAAGCCCAAATTGAAGGCTGATTCCCCCCACCCCATGAAGACCCCTGCTTGCTCTTCCTTCCAAAGTTTCTCCTGCTCTGAGCTCAGAGCTCTTGGTCTGAAACTCCACCAAACACCTATCAGAACTGTTGCCTGGGCAACTTTAGCTGCAGACACTTCCCTACATATTCCCTCCTCCTCCAACCACCAGTCCAGGAAGGTTGAATATCGCTCTTGCTGAAATTATTAATACCACACTTCCTTCCCGCATGATGGCTTATTCCCAGCTAGCAAAGCACCTTCCTGTTTGCAACCTCATTTGACCCCATCAGTCACTAACTGAGAAAATTGAGGTTTACAGAGAGGGCCGAGACTTGCCCGAAGCCACCCGCTCAGATTTCTTTTCTCCAAATCCTGTCTTCTCTCCATTGTCCCATTCTGGAGACCACAGGGTGGATGGAGTCCCCAGAAAGGGCAGGGGGCAGGGATCCAAACCTCACCTGAGAGTTCCCTCCTACCTGTGGTTCTGAGGATAGTGTATAGGCCAGAATGGCCATACAGGAGACTGCCAGGCCAGGGCCAAGGAAGGGAGAGCTAGATGTAGGTTGGATTAGGAGCAGGTGGCTTAGACATCAGGCTTCCTGGGTGACCCTGGGCCACTCCCTTTCCTTCTCTGGGCCATGGTGCGTCCTCCTCTGTAACGTGAAGGCTTGAGATAGGACCTCTGACATTTTGAAAGCAAGGCTTCTTAATGTGTACATGATGGGGAGTTGGGAGGCACAGAGTTTGGGCCTGGACCAGTCTTCTTATCCTGGGACCCAGGCCTCTGATACCCACCTGGTCACCCTCACCCCCCATCACCTCCCATCCCACGGGACGTGCTGTCTCAGGGACCTGAGGGGCTGGTGAGGGGCCCAGTCAGCTGCGATCCAGGCAAACTGCCTGTCAGTTGCTCAAATTTATTGATCACTAACTGGATACAGAGCCCATGTGTCAAGCAGGTGTGCTGTGGGCAAGAGGAGGGGGAAAAGTACAAAAGCAAAGAAGCCATTCAGGCTTCAAAGGCGAGCATAATTTGGCCATCTCTCCATCCAACCATTGACCTAGCAAACATTTTTGGATCATCTGCTATCTATGTACCAGGCCCTGCGTAGGAACTATGGGGCAGGGATAAGGCGGGTTTGGGGTGAAAAGGCCAGTGGTCACCAGGTAGGACAAGCAACCTCACAGCATCAAATCACTCTTAAGGACAGGGAACCCCAGACCAGGTGTCAGACTCATAGTCTCAGGCTGAGAACCATGGCAGAAGGGTTTTGTGTGGCTAGCACTTTGGTTCTCCACGTGCCCCATCACTACCTGTCTATTGCCTTATACCTAGTGGCACCTGCTTGGCCCCTAAAGCAATTTGAATTTGCAAACCATACTAGGGAAAAATATCAGCACTTCAAAATAACAGGACTACCCTCGTCCAGAAGGAGAGTGGGGGCCAAAGACAGAGAGTTCTGGGCTGGTGCTGGGAGCCTTGGGGTCTCCTCTGGGCTCCCCAACTTCCTGTGCAATTGGAAGATGTCCCCTCTCTGACCAGCGATTTCCTCTGTGAAATTTAGGGAAAGTCTAGATCGGTGGTTCCAAATCCTATCCAGCCCCCCACCTTGGAACCTTAAAGATAGTATCGGAGTTCCAGAGATGACCCCAAATGTTTCCAAAAGTAAATGGCCATAACATTTATTCCTAACAAGTGTGTACCTTCTCTTTAAACAAATAGGTTTAAAATATAAAGAGTACTGTAGAGATGTGTCTCAGATGAATAAAAATATTAAGATATGATTGGTGTGTGCGCTATCATTTGTCCTAATAATCACAAATTGTTTGATAGACAAAATCTTTGAAAACCTGATCAAATGAGACAGAAGACAATCCAAGGGGTACTTGCTTGGTGACATGGTTGGAAAGGGTAGCACTTGGTCATCACTGAAGTCCTTTCAGGTCCAAGCATCCACAGATGTGTGCCGATGCCAGTCGTGGGAGAAATCCTCATAGCGGGGATGGCAGAGAGCTGACCCTTATGGAATATCTTCTGATTACTAAACTCAAACTGGTAAGCTCACAAACATCCCCAGAGGTAGGACAGTGACCCTCCCCATCTTACAGAAGGGAAAACAGGTTTATTCGCAGAGGTTAGGCGCCACGCCAAGGCCACTCATCTGGAAGGTAGCCGAGCTGGCACTTGAACGCCGGGGGGAATGGCTCCAGAGCCCGGTTTGAGGTTGGAGAGGCGACTCCGGCCCCCTCCGGGCGCCTCGCCGCTAGGTCCCTGGCGCTGGCGCAGGGCAGGTGCCCGAAGACTACCCCAGTCTGAGAGGGTGAAGTCCCCCTGGAGCTTCGGGGTGTGTTGGGCGCAGGCGGAGGCTGGGGCGGGGCCTCCCCTCAGCCATACTTGGACTAGCTGGGTCGTCCTGGGGCGGTGAGTGGCAGTCGTCTTCCCCAGATCCCCCAGACCCCGCAGACCCATCTAGGGTCCTGGCGACCGGCAGAAGCACCGGGGCGGCCTGGGGCCGGGGGTCCGGGCTGAGGAAAAGGGCGAGAAGTGAGGCGGACCCAGAGCAGAAATAGGAGAGGAGAGAGGGGGAGGGGGAACGAGGGAAGGGGGCGGGGAGTCCTTCCTGGGACAGGAACCCAGGCCCCCCTTGGCTGGGCCGACCTGCAAAGCGATTCTGCAGATGGAAGGAATTAAGTGGGAGGGGGAGGGTCCTTCGATGATAGCGAGGAGAGGGAGGGAGTTGTGTGTGTGTGTGTGTGTGTGTGTGCGCGCGCGCGCGCGCGCGCGTGTCTCTGGGCCTGAGAGGGGAAGGAGAGAGAGACACATCAGACTAGACGAAAGTAGAAAAGATGAGAGGCAGAGACAGAGACAGAGTCGGAGACAGATCCATAGAGAAAGACGACGAGACCGACAGACAGATGATGGACACAGGAGATGTTAGTCTGAGAGAAAGGATAGAGTATGTGGAGGGTAGGAAAATAGGGAAAAAAACAGTGAAAATGAAATAATTGGAAAGGATTTGTAAAGAAAGAGAGACAGAAGAGAGCTGAGAGCAAAGCGAGACGGGATTGATCAGGCCCGGGCAGCACTGAGCTCCTGTAGGGTGGGGGAACTGGTTTGGCCGCACGGAGGGGGCGTGGCCTGCTAGGGGCCGCCCAATGGGCGGGCCCTCACCGTGCTACATATGTAGATGAGCTCTCTTTCCCCGCCCACCCCGCCCCATCACTCTATATTCAATGAGACAGCCAATAGAGAGGGAGGACGGCTCCAGGAGGGGCGGGGCCTCGGAGAACCCCTCCCCGGGAGCGGCCGCTGAAGGGGTCAGAATTGAGGCAGATAGCGGTTCGTGGGGCGGGGCGGGCGGATCGGAGGGGGCGGGCCCAAAAGTTTCCTGCCCAACTTTCGCTGCCTCCTTCCTCCGCCCGCGCGCTCTGCGGCTGCAGTTGGGGGGAGGCGGCGGCGGCGGCGGCGGCGGCTGTGGGCTGAGCGCGGGGTGCAGGCGATCGCCGTCGGGGCTCGGGCGGCGGCAGTGGGCGCAGGCTC